TGCTGAAAGGGCCCCATTCATCTTTTAATTGTGCACCAAAAATTCTGCACTGACACATGCTGGAGATTTGCAGTGCTGAGTCCCTTGAGCATAAATCCAGCAGATACCACCTCACCCTCAAAACCAACATGAGGTGAAGGGAACATGGGTGCGTTGGAAAATAGCTAGGGAAGAAGGTTTAGAAGGACTCAAGGAGGGAGGGACATGATTAGAGGGAAGCTCCCTTATTCCCGATTTATCAGTCTCATAAGACCTTCTTACAGCAACGGTGCTAATACTGCCTATTTAAAACATGCAAGAAAATGATAGGTAAGAATTATACTGACAGCATTATCAGATGCTAACCAGAAGGTTAAATGAGCTCTGCGGGAGGAACTAGCATACTTGTGCCTCAGAGAACATGAGGTTTAGAGAGCACTGCCATGCCCAAAGCCACCACGCACAGCTCTGCTGTGCATCAGTGAATGATGGTAATTTTGACAGTTAGGCTACCACTGATTAGTGTCAGGTTTTTATTGCCTGACAGGCAAGGAAACCCCAGGCATAACAGCACTGCTCTCCATACTTTGAGGAATATCACCCATTTAGCACTAGCATCCTGAGCTCCTTCTAACGTTGTCATCAGCCTACACCTGTCATCACTGTGTGTAAGTAGAGGGGACCAAGCTGGCAAATGTTTTGCCACTCCATATAGAATACTGTGGTTTTTATTTGCACTTTCTCATTTTAACCTCATTAAGGTTCCCAGACATTCATGTTTTTACTTGCTTCCTTTATGAAACAGATAAAGTTTGGCAGTAACTGGCCACAGGCAGCCTTGCCCAGTCCTCAGAAGCTTGTCTCTTATGTCTGGTTATGCTTCAAAGGTGGTTTTTTTTTCCCTCTGAAGTGCCTTCCTAAATCAACTAAGTGCTTTGGACTCCACATCTAGTCTGTGTTGCATCTGTGCTAATAAACAGGAGATCTTTGGACGTCTCCCAGGGTGTTTAAAAACCATTGCAGCAGAGTTTACAAAGACCACAAACAACTAATTAGATCTATTATCTAAAATGAAAAAGGCATTTGTTTACTAAACCTGTTTTTGCAGAAGATTTTCTAACATGCTAGGGTTTATATTACTTGTGACCTAAAAGCACTATAGTTAGTACATTACTGCATTCTTCCTTGCTAGTAGTCAGGGCCAAATTACAGGCTAATTTGGAGTTCCCAAACTTTGACTCTAACAGAAGAAAGGATGAGTGCGAAGACAGTATCTTAAATGCTCAGAAGGAGTGAAAATTATATCACAGTATCCTTTTCACTGCTAGGGTGCTTCCACCACTTTGTTTATATATATTTTCAATTATAGCACTGACTATCTCCATTCAGGTAAAATTCCCAAGGGAGACTGATGGGATTTGATAGAAAAGAAATTAACCTAGAATTACAGGGTATAATGCTCATAATCTGTCTTTTGGCATGGAGTTGAGCCGGTAAGTTAAGGGTAAGCCTTTGACCAGATGTCTACTGTTGTCCCACTAGATCCTTACAGTAAGCCTCCAGCTTAGACAGAGAAAAGAATCAAGATGCTGATGTACCGGAGCCATCACTATTTCATCAGTGTAGTGGATTATACATAGCTTATACGTCTCTGAAGACTCCAAAGGAGGAAAAAAGGAGTTTATGAGGACAAAGAGGAGGGGATGTAACTTGGAAAATAAAAGGAAAACATACACTGAGAAAGGAATAGATGCTATTTTGTCAGGACACAGAGCAGGGTGGATGAAGCAAATACAAAACCCGGAAAAATCTTGCCTTTTGAAAGAATAAACAAAAAGATATTTTTTATTTTGCAATTTTTTGTACCTTTATTTAATTTCAAAGTCTCCATTACTGCGTCTCTCTTCAAGACTTGGTAAGCTGGATGAAAAGACACACATTTTGGTCTTGTACTACAGGAATAAACTCCCACAACATGAAATCTCTTACTCACAATGGAATTTTTTTTTTCTCTCATCTTGTTTCGCAAGGCATCTTTGAGATGGTTATCAACAAACAACAGACAGTAACTGGCTAAACAGTGTTACCTACTTTTCCTTTCATCAGTTGGTGAAAAATCTGCACAAACTACACACGACAGTGCCAGCAGAAGAATACACCACTTATTTCACTGAGACAGATGCATACTGCTAAATATAGATTTTACTGAACTGTTGGTTTCTAAGTTCATAGGACTCATTTCCACTGCTTCTCAGTGGCTCTTTCTCATCTCCCATGTCATTGTCTTTCATCTGTGCAAAATAGGCAGGAGAAGCTTTGCATTCATAGTGCCTTTCAAGAGATTTCAGGTGGATCAACATATGAAGAGCATAGACAAGAACTAGCAGCAGAATCAGCGACATAACCAATCCCATAAGTATTGCTGGAGAGAAGAAGGATGCACAGTCTTTTGCATAGGCAAAATGTCCTTCTCGAATGTTAAAGCCTTGAATCTACAAAGAGAACAAAAGGGCTCATATTAAAAAAAGTACTTGCCTCTCATTTACAAACAACTTCATGAATTTGCTCCTGATGCCAGTAAGAATTTTTTAATTTAATATCTGCTTATTGCAAAATTGTATCTGTCAGTGCTAGCTGGAGTTAATGCTCAGAGTTTATCCAGGTCAGTCTTCTAGAAACTGCCAGTTACTCTAATCCCCTTCACTCTGCTGCCCAAAGGATTTGCAGTTGTGTTTTAAACTAAATCTTCTATGATCGTTCTTGATAGTCCAGCAACATTTAAATATAAGTATGGTACCTTTCAAGTTAACAGTGCATTTCCAGTATCATTTGTTGAGAATCTCCAGAGTCTCTGTTTCAAACTGCATAAACTTCAACATGACAAACAAGGAAATATTCTCAATTGCCTACCCTAATATTAGATTTTTCTCACCAGATCCAAGTGTGAGGTATATGGCAGTAAATCAGCTAAACTACATGGAAGTTGCATTCAACTACGGTCAATAGCAGTAAGTTTTACTTGTGGCTTCATTTCTAACATGAAGTTTACCACATCATTGGCATTCAGGGAATTGACTGTCTGCTCCACTAAATCAGTCCACGGGCATTTATCACATGGTGAGAAAAGGGCGATCAGCTTTCCCCCTCAATCCCCTTTTTCAGCTATTCATGTCCTATGACTTAAGCATCTAAAAGCAAGACATCCTAGTCCAGTTATCATAGGCTCCCTTATTGCCAAACCCAGAAAAAGAGGCACTTTCAGAAGACGATTAATCTCATCCTAAAATAAGGACCTAAGATGAGTCAGAGGAATTATCTACAGGCTTTAGAGGCAGGCTCAGGTGACTATAATCAGGGCACAAGGTTAAAATTACTAGGCCTCAAAAGTTAAGTGAGATGAATCCCATACTTGGTGACTGATGCTGTTACTGATGCCGGGTTTAAGAGCCAGTTCAGAGAGATGTAGTGCTGAAAGTTAAATTCACTCACCACACTAAAGGGAAACCTATGCAAGAGACTACAGAAAATCTATATAGCCGTTCATTTCCTTTGACAAGAAGGTAAGTATAATAATTTAAATCTTCATTTCTATTTCAAGTTCCATGGAGATCCTGTAAACTGTACATGGAAGGTCATTATACTTTCTTGGCAGTGAAGTGTAAAATTTCCCATCAGTCAACTTACAGGATCCATTTGGCTTAATTCTACAACATTACCTGGAAATCAATAAAAGTGACTTCCCAAAGCTTTGAAAGATCATTTGCAGAGCTGGGTATGAGGAGTGCATCATATCTCTGCAAGCTGCTCACATGTTCACAGTGGTAGGAGTAACTTGCTGGTGCATATATTCTGGTTGCATTAAACGTCGCTTGTATGGAGTGGTTGTAAAGAAGTTGCAGTCTGTGTAAACTGAACCAGTTCTGAACAGACAGCTGGTAATAGCTTGTTGTTAATAAGAATCTGAAAATATTGTAGGGGAAAAAAGATTAATAAGAAAGCAAGTCTAACTAAGAGCTGGAACTATTCAATTCACACTTGAACAATCTTAGAAGGTACACTGGTATTACCAGAGTTTCATACATTTAAATCCGTGTGAGCTCTAGCTCCTTCTATTGAGTCTGGAAAATAATGTGAGTTTCTTCATTGTTGCAGCTGAAGGAGTTTGCTGCTCTCCCACACAGTGAGAGGAAAGATGAAGGATTGTTCCTAAATGACTGAGAAAAATCTATGTGCAACACTGGTGTTGTACTTCCATCCAAGACATAGAAAATTATTTGTCAATAAATGCTGTTTTGCTTGATTGTGAAGAAGCAAACATAAAGTAGGTCACAGTCTGATGCCTGAGCAGCCTACACTATCAGTTTTCGCAGCAAAATTCCCAGACAAAAATGTAGCTAATTAGCAAGGTTTAGCAAAAATCTCAGACATGGGAAGATTCTATGCAAAAGAGATGACAGGAACTTTTTTTGTGACTAGAAAAGTCAAGATAAAAGAAGAAATGCCTTAATAAAACAAGGCAGGCAAACGACAGACCTATTAAATGCAGGTGTCTTGATTATATAATCAACAGTTCTATCATGTTATTTTTGCTTACACAAATTCTCCTAAAACAAATCACACAAGGAACTCGTAACAATGGATATTAATATGTGATTACCTAATATTTTCTTTATCATATAAACTTACCTAATAACAAGACCCTTTAGATTGCCAATGTCACCAAACTTCAGAGAAAGCCTAGGTCAAAAAGCAAGTAATGTCAGGCTAGATAAAAACTTCAGAAATATTAAGAGAAAAAAGCAGCACAAAAGATTAAGCGTAGTTATACATGGAGCCTTTTGCTCAGGATACCTTTGAAGTCAGTGTAAAAACAAACTGAAAGGATTAAATCTTTCTCCAGTGAAATCTAGAAGTTCAGGTGTTAATTTGAAGGAGGCCTACATTATCCAGAAAGAACAGAACTGCATGCTCAACTTTCAACCCAATTCAATTCCACTGCTTCCAACATTGGTTGACAATTAGGTTCATTTGATCTGTGTTTTCCTTCTCAAGCCATGATATCTTAGTCATGAATCACCTCTGAATGTCATTATAAAGTGTAAACAGCCACATTATTCTCATCTTTTTAGATACTAGAGCATAAGAAATGCAGATGACATTTGAGTTCAAATTTCACACATGTGCATCATTAGAGCAATATAAATACGTTGACTTTGAGGTAGCTCTACAAAGCTTATCTGTGGTGAGCACGGCCAAGTGAAAGGCCCTAGCAGGTTAATTGTAAATGAATGCATACTCTACCATCCTTGGGCCATCTCTGGAATTAATGCATTGTAGCACTGCATGATTAAGTGGTATACATTTTTCTGGCTTAATAATATTTTGCCTCTTAAAACCTGCATAACAGATTCTCATTGGTGACATAACATTTTCAGACTAAGCTAGAGACAAAACATGGTGAAACCATGCAGCATCTGACAGACTTCTGAACCTAAAGCTGAAGAAAATAAAAAAAAACAAACAGCTAGCCCTATGACTTCATATGAGATCTAGACTTCTAGTACCTTGACTAACACTGGTCCAATGAGCCAGGACACTGAATCTAGACTATCCCTCGTTCTATTACAAAGGGAAATCATAGACAGTTGAGGATTAGACACAGGCAAATACCGCATTAAACTCAGTGGCCTGATCCAGAAATTGGTGTGTAAAAAAAAATCCCACAGGTTGGATTATTATATTCATATAGCAAATACCTATATGTATTATATATATTTATATTATATATTTTTTCTGGGGTGAGAAAAACTGGACAATGCATCATGTGAGCACTCAGCTATCAGCTGGCATAATTTAGATCAGTCCTTAGACTTGAGATTACAGAGCAACATTCAAGTCAGTTTTTCACTTTCTTCTCTGCTACAGTCAAATGCAGGTTGACTGAAAATCTAACCCAACACTTGTATTTGGCAATTACACTGAGTCTAATCATGACTCATGAGCCCAGATTATCCATTTTCCCATCTGTAGACCATGATTTCTACACATAGGGACCTCAATCAGTAATTAAGATGCTGTCAGTGGCAATGGATGAATGGATACTTGAAACATACAGTTTCTAATTACTTGACACGTGGAATCTAGCAGAGATGCCACAGATCTGTTCATGCAATCTGTCAAATGTCCTGACAAATCCATCCTAGCGAGAGCTCAGAATAAGACAGGGCTTTCTTGGTTAGGATTCTGGAACGCATTCAAAGGGCAGGAGTCAGTGCGACTAGTATTTCTTAGTGTATCCCAAATAAACAAAGTATAGAACATGCAAGAAAGCAAAACCATTGGGAAGGAGTAGCATTGTCCTCTCCATAGAAAAGAGGAGAAAAGGCTCAGTATCATAGAATCATAGAATCATAGAATCATAGAATCATAGAATCATAGAATCATAGAATCATAGAATCATAGAATCATAGAATCATAGAATCATAGAATCATAGAATCATAGAATCATAATCATAGAATCATAGAATGTCCTGAGTGGGAAGGGACCCACAAGGACCATCGAGTCCAACTCCTGTCCCTGCATAGGACAACCCCAAAATTCACACCATATGTCTGAGGGCATTGTCCAAATGCTTCTTGAATATTGTCAGGCTTGGTGCCATGACTGCCTCTCGGGGGAGCCTATTCCAGTGCTCCACCACCCTCTGGGTGAAGAACCTTTTCCTAATGTCCAACGTAAACCTCCCCTGGCCTGTCTTCCTGCCATTCCCTTGGGTTCTGTTGTCGGTCACCAGGGAGAAGAGATCAGCGCCTGCCCCTCCTCTTCCTCTTGTGAGGAAGCTGCAGACTGCAGTAAGGTCTCCCCTCAGTCTCCTCCAGGCTGAACAGACCAAGTGACTTAGGCTGCTCCTCATATGACTTCCCCTCTAAACCCTTCACCATCTTCATGGCTTGTAGTACTAGTAGTCACAGTATGTCTCTTGACTCCAGCAAAAAAATGCCAGCCTCAACTTCAAACTAAGCATCAAGGTTCTGCTTGCCTTTAGCAGTTGTGTCCCTAGTTCGAGGCTACTCAGAAAACTATGGAAGAAACAAAGAGAAAGATCAGAAGACATGGCAGATGAGATGGCTCTGGACTCAGATTTTGAGATCAAACCTCAGATATGGTGAAACAGATTTTTTTAATGAATAATGGGCTCTATAAATTCCCAAATATCTTCCAACATAATGCATCAAGTAGAATATGCAGCCCTGTAGTGGGCTGACCCCAGCCAGCAGCTAAGACCCACACAGCCACTCACCCAGTGCCCCCCCTGCCAACTCCACAGCAGGACAGGGGAGAGAATAGGAAGAACAAAAGAGAGAGAACTCTTGGGTCAAGATAGAGTTTAATAAGTGAAGGAAAGAGGGGGGGGGAAAAACACTGAAGTTCTGCAAGGGCAATCACTGACCATCTCCCATGAGCGGACTAATGCCCAGCGAATCTCTCGGCAACAGACACCCTGAAAGACACAACTCATACCCACTTCTTCTTCCTCTTACCCCAGTTTTTATTGCTGAGCATGACATTATATGGCAGGGAATATAACTTTGGACAACTCGGGTCAGCTGTCCAGACACTGTCCACGCCCAGCCCCTTGCCAACCTCAACCTACTTGCTGGGGGGGAAGAGTGACAAACAGAGACAGCCAGGATGCTGTGCAAGCACTGCTCAGCAAAAGCCAAAACATTGGTGTGTTATCAACACTGTTTTAGCCACAAAGACAAAACACAAGAGACTTATCTCCCTCCCAGCGAGGCCAGTCCTAATTTCTTGTATTTACAGAATGCAAACTCTGTATTTACAGAATGAAGCACCCACTACTGTAACCAGAGTGCAGAGGTACCTGTGACAGATAGGTAGACAGAGTAGCCTGCTCAAATCTAACAGTCTCCAAACAGCAGCTCCAGTAGGAGTTTGCAGTCCACCACTGCGCTGTCTTTCTGATTTTTCAAGCCTTATGAACAACTATAAAACTGTACTTTGTGTTTTGAAACCCTTACTTTTGCACGAGTATATTTTCTATTAGGTTACAATCATTACTAAAAAGACTAAGATTATCTCTGAATTGCAGACCAGAACAGAAGAAGGAATGTTTGTTATTATCTGTTCTCTACCTCTGCCTTTCAAAACATAGGGCTGGATTAGTTCGCATGCTGATGATGCAGAACTCAGACTGCCTTGTTGAATACTATGATACCATGGGCAGAAAATCTGGCTTCTTTTTCAACTGTGCTTTTAGTTTTCTTGTAACCTCACTAAAATTTCTGTGCACCTTGGGTTATCCTTCACAGATGTATAATCAGAACGAGATAACACTTACTTTCTGTGGAAATGTCTTTAGATGTACAGGTGAAATGTTGTGTAGAAGCTAAAGGAAACTGCTGATTTTGGTCATGTTATTTTTATTCTTGTGTGTCATTACAGATTTAAACTTCAGTTATGGGGTAGACTCAATGCTCATGTACAGCACGTGCCCAGTTAGGCATCCACCTCCTAATTTTTAGACTTTTGCCTACCAGAGTGGAGTCAACGACCTGGTATTAGACATGAAGCCAGCCAGCATACTACGTGGAGGGAGAGAAGTGGTCAGGTACGCTACAAAGGAGATCGAAAAACCTACATGCCTTTCTAGTGTGGTCATGGGATTCGAAGATTTTTGATCCAGTTAGGTTAATATATAGCTCTCACTCAGGTTTAGCAGGAGCAAAGAAAGCATTGTGCTGTTCATGCTGAAGAAATTCATGACAGACTGGGATGCAGAGTTCAGGTTTTCAGAGACTCTTCAAGTCACATGCAAACCTGTAGTGAATTTACTCTTCGGCTTCAGCAACTCACGGATCACATCCTGGGACTTGGGGCTACCTGTTTCTAAATACACATATGCATTGTGTACCAATGGTTTACATTACTGCTGACACATATCCTATAAAGGGATAAGTAGTCATACATGGCCAGGCCCTAAGCCTCCATCTTCTGCATAGGATCTACTATTCAGTCTCCCAAGTAGCTATGTAAAACAGCTAGAGACCAAAGAGATCAACAGCTTCAGACTCACAGGCACTACGAGCAAAACTGCCTGGCCACAAGGACTGACTACACCACTGCAAGAGATGAAGACAGCTGTGTACATCTATGTGCCCCATGAAAGACTGGTCTGAAAGTATATAACCCATGCTGCCCTGCTGCCTGCAACATCAGGACATGTTATAGGAAGGAGCTTGCCCCTGGGGCTCTACACCGCATAATACATGGTCTGTTTCCTTCAGTATGTATTTACTAGACTTTGTTATCTGGTACTTGTTCCATTGGCAGAGTAGAATGCCACCTTACATTGCATTGTCTTCACTGCAGTTTGAATCTCCAACATCCACTGTTGCATGGACACCAAATGTCTTCTCTGTCAAATCCAGCTGCGTGTGGTTTTCAAATTTAATCATGATCCTCTTGGCCCAGAACAGAATGCAGGGGATGCCATTAACCGTGACGTTGAGAGGGCTGTGGGTGAATGGCCTCCAGGATGCTCTTTCCCACTGTCCTTTCCTGCTCAAGTTGTAGCTGACAACCTGATTGACCATATAAAAGATCAGTATCAGAAGATGCATATTGCAGGAGTTACTCACCATCCTACCAGAATAAATGAGGCCAGCACTTGGAGAGCATCTGTGGAGCCAGTTCTCTGGCAGCATTACTGGACTGAGGAAGCAGGGAAATCTCTGGGATTGGCACCATGGGAATGGCACCATACAGACCTCTAGCTCTAGCACAACTGGCCAGAGAGCCAATATAAGTTATATTTGTTCTACTGGGGTAGTATGACTGGGGCAAACCACATTTCCATCTCACCGTAGAGCTGCCCAGTATAAAAAAATGAAGCAAAACTAGAATCACAAGTTGCTCACTCCAGCAGAAGACTCTCTAGGACACCTGTAAGAATTACTTCAACACATTAAAGAGGACTCAGCTTGGGTCAAGGACACAGCCTACCATGCTGAAAGCACACTAGGCAGCTGTCCAGGTGAAAGAAATGTCCAAGTTTACATCTTGTACATGTAGTCTACATCTACCTGCAGACCGTTTGGCTCTTGATGGCTTTAAAATTGGGAAAATACCTGCTGCAGAACAGGATGGCTCAAGTATGGATCCCTACCTTTCCAAAATCAGTCATTCACAAGATTAAAACCTGGGGACTGCAGCTTCCAGGTCATCTGTAGACATTAGAAAAATGCTATCCATTCTAAGGCAAATTCCATAGCAAAAGGAGAACAATTTGGCTGTCAGGCAATATAATTTGAGACAGTGAGTTAGGGCTCAGAAAGGACTTCAAAATGCAACTGTCATTTCCATATTTCAAACTAAAGTTTCCAGGCACCAACTCTTTTTCATCTACACATATGTTCTATCTGAATATGATAACATATATAATGTCTGCATGGCTGTTTTACCTGTCATATGATTAAGCAAGTTCCAATCATGTACAGACAAGAGACGTATTCTGAGTCCCAGTCACTAACAGCATCTTACCAGGCTCCAGAAGGGACTCGGTTAAGCCCCAAAGCTTCATCTTGGCTTAAAGAGAGATTTTTTTTTTTCTGTTCAGATTAGCAAATCATGTACCCTGAAAGACCGCTTCTGATACTTGACCTTACATATGGCATAAGACTGCTTTAGGATTAAAATTAGTAAGTACTCACAGCAACAAGCTGAAAGCGTGGTAAGATCATGGTCAGAAAACGTGATGCAACAGCCAGCAAGAAACGTTGACTATGACTGTAATTTGTATAAATGATAAGGCTGTCTTCTCAGAAGTACAGATGAGAGAGATTTAATCAACAGATTAGTCACATTAGATTGCATCATTTGCAGGGGTCTTGATAAGGAAGCCTTTTATGCTCAGTTTTTGACAAGACCTACAGGCTGGACTCAGGAAAAACTCCCACTAAGTTTAAATAATCAGCAGTTTTGCTTCAGCTGTTCTTTTAGTACCAAGTGATACAAGCAAAATACTGGCCGCAATAGTCAAATGGTATTGTTCAGAATATGGATGATAGGACTTGGTTCTTTCAGTAAGACCCTGTGCCCAAACCCACTGCCCGTCAGCACCAGCAACAGCAACTGAAGTCTCACCTCACTTCTCAGAAAAGCAGAAGATACCTTGTACAGCAGGTGATGAATCAGTACCATATCACAATGATTTAGACAGTTTTGTTGGCTATTTCTTGTGAACAATATATTATTTAATTTAATAATGCAAATTAAAAGATCTCAATGTGCTATGAAAAAACTTCACAGGTTCCTTCAAACATTACCTGTGTAATCGCTACTTGATTTACATTAAATTTTGGCTTTACACCACCGTCGTAACGTCGACCTGCAGAAGAAAGTGTGTTATTAGCCTACAAAGAAAACATCCAATCATTTATAAAAGCATGATCTTGCACATTCTTATGCAAACAATAATTATCCCTGCACGAAAGGTGTATTTCAGAATACCCGATTTTGGTTTGGAAAATATTTTTGGCTTGGTGCAAATATTGCCTTCAATACATCTATTTTCTAGTTTACTTTACTTCACTCACACAACAAGGTTCCTCTTCTTTTCATTGAACATCTTGCCACCCTTACTGGGAAGAACTCCAGTGCCCAAAAATGACAGGATTCAGCCTATACATGTATTTATTCATCCCTAACACACTTAAAAAAAGCTTCTTCTTTCTTCATACAGCAAAGTCTGTTGTCAAAGCGTGTGTGTTGAATGGCATGGCAACAGCATGTAACTCTGGGTGGGAATTTCTTTCTCTGCACTGGCCAGAGATGGAAAGCTGTGACAAATAACCTGACAGCCTGACTGCTTGCCAGGAGAGCGAAGTTTCACAGATGACAAATCATTTCATGGACACTCTCACAGCTCCATCCTTCAAACATTTTATTCTGTTTTCATTTGGTTAAAAAAAGAGTGAATACTTCTTTCTTCCACATTCTCACTGTATCTCAGAGTCAGTCGGTAAATGATTATTTTAACCAGGCAAATCCTTTAAAGGGTATTTTCTAAAGAGGGATATGCTTTAACAACACATTTAACAGGCGAGTCACTAATGCCAACAGAAGCAACATCAGGGAATGAAGATCTTTTACAGCCGCACTAACAGAGCCAGTAACCAGCCATTCAGCCCACTGAAAAAAAAGCCTTACCATTTCTTTGCAGAGAATCTTGATCTGAAAACGCACGTGAACTAGAAGAGAGGAGAAAAATATTTACTGTACAGCATCTGGATTTAAAGTCTGCAGCAAGTTTACTGGGGAGAGCTCCTGTTCCTGCCTCATTCAATAAAACATTCAAAACATAACTCAGATCCTTGGCTGGTTAGTGTCACAGGAACAGGGCAAATTAATCCCAAAGCCACAGCACCCAGGCTAAAAATGCCTCAGTTTCAGAGATCCCTCAGGTGGATAAACCCTGCCAGGCATTCCCATGTCCTTACCATATTGACTAAAGCCTCCATTACCCCTCTTGTCCCTTTCCATGGGACATCAGTTCTGGGTTAGAGACTGAACCAGTTCCAGCCCACAAGCAGGGGAACACAAGGATAGCGCTGCACCATCCTCAGCCGCCCGTGAGGATCAGAAGCAACACACTGAATTCCTCCAGGATAGAGCAAATGCACTGGGCTAGTATGCCTCAAGCTCAGATGTACAGCCATCTAAAGATGGGTCCTGAATGGTTCCAGACAATCCCAAATGCCATGGAAGTCAGCTGCAAGGTAGGGAGCAAGTGAAGCACATCTCAGATAACAACTAGGCTCATGAAATTTTCAGCCTTTGGTTTCCTTCTTTGGTATAATTTAGGGACAAGTCTTCAGCTGGTGTAAGTATGATCTACTTTCCTGAACTAGAGAATCAAGCCCAGTAGATTCATGTACATCACCGAAAGGCCTACAAGATCAAACAAAGTCCAAGAAACCAGGCTGTCCTTAGGACCAGACTCCACTCCTTGCGTCAGAGGAACACCTTCCTGCCTCCTCCACACCACGGCATCTTCCTTGGGACCTGCAGCCCCCTACAGCAGATTGATCTATTGATCTGATGATACATGTCTGCTTCTCACATTTGCTGTCAGTGTTCCCCAGCAGGTGAACACACCGGCCCTCCTGCACTCACAGCTGAGCATCATCTCACAGACACCCTGTACACCCTGCCCTACCTCTGCCTGCACAGTGCTTTCCAGGCCGTAAGCGATGGTGGGGCTGGAACTGCCTCACAGCCACTTCATATGGAAATACACTTCCATCTTCTTTTTTCCCTTGGTTTCTTACCAGCTTTCCAACCCACCACAAAAGAAATGAGGACTAGGAATAAAATAAAGACTAGGAATAAAAGCAGTTTTCCGTATTTATGTGCGAATTGTACCGTAAAGTATTTGAACTGCGGGGTCAAGCCTTGGCCTCGCTGGGGAGCCCTTGAACAGGTGGGTGAACCCACTCCCCGATGGACTTCCTGGGTAGGGGGATCAGTGTCACCCACTAGCATGTACTGCAGGCATGATCCCAACCTAATTTCCATCGCCACATCCTTAATGGCACATAAATATGAGTCTGAACAACATAACACCAACAAAGGAGAAATGTGGGATGGCTTAGAGCCTGCCTTGCTGGCTGCCATGCCCATGCAGCCTGGCAGTCAGGGAGTTTGATCAACACTGAACTTGGCTTGCCTGAAACCCATGGCAATGCTACCTGCTTCAGCAAAGCCCAGATTTCACACACAATGTCTTGTTTACACTCAAGGTTCAGGAGGGCAGCAGGCTGTTTCTTCTGATCAGTGTCTCTCCAACGGGAATATCCTTTCACAGGCATGTTCTCTGCTGCCACAAACAGATCTCTTGTGTCCCCTTGCAAACTCCTCAAACCCAGAAGGCAAAACAGACAAAAGTGAAGTGGAGTCTGTATTCCAGCTTGTCACTTTGCTGCCAAACACCAGGTCTGATGAGCAGCTTTGCTCCAGACCATCGGGAAGGCTGCTCAGCCCCTTCAGCAACCAGGGCAATAAAGCAGAAGACAGTCTCCAGAGAAAACGTAACAGCACAAAGAGACATCTAGGCTCTGCAGCACCGCAGCAGTGACTGCGATCTGAGCTGAAAGAACCTTAAAAAGATCCTACGTTCAAAAAAGTTCAATGTACTTCACTGTTTAAAATCAATCTGGCAGTTTTAATTACATATAGTGAGACCAGCTCTCTCCTCAGTTGAATTCCCCAATGTACTTTCGAGCCGGGGTTAGTGCTGAGCTGAGGTCTTTAGGCCACCCAAAGGTCTCATCCCAGTAGCGAGCAGCCTTCAGAGATCAGTGGAAATAATCCTCATTTCGACAAATAGGTAACAAAAGATATGTCTAAAATGGACTGAACTTTGTTTTCTTGTTCAGGTAAAACTCTTTCTTAGGTTGTTTAATGATTAGGAGCACGGGTTTTGTAATTTGATGCAGCCTTATTTTTATTTTCTTGTCTTCCTTCATGACAGGTTGTGTCTTCTAGCTGGAAAAGGCAATTTTAGGCATTTTTTCATGATAATAGCTACAAAAATGAGGCACACCAAAAGGAAATGAACGTAAATTATTTAGTTATACTAACTTTAGTTATATTTAGTTGCACCTATATATATTTAGTCATGCTTAGTTATACTTTTAGCTCCTACCTATACACATAATTAAAAGCTCATAGCCCATTACTCCAGTTTGGAAATCACCATGCTGTAGTGTGCAGACTAAAACACTGGGATGAGAGGAGACTGGCGTAAAATTGTGTAATCCATTTCATTCCCTTGCTGGACTTGAAAGGTTTTTATGTTGTTCTGGGAAGAGGAAGGGCTATTTTTGTTTTCATTATTGTCAATTAAAAAAAAAAAAATCATTACTTAGCTTCCCCTCTGGGATAAGGCTAATACCATGGCCGTGACAATTAAATCACCTTGAGGAATGCTAATTGATAGGCAACACCAAGCCTTGAGGAGAGCATATAATGAATACGTGAGGCATACTCATTGCGAACGCCCCTGTGGGGTTACATCCTGAGCAGAAGGGTTATAACCGGCCTCCACGCAGCCCGTGGGTGCAGGCTGGGAGCTCATGACAATGCAGTTTGACTCCTGTACATCACATGTAAAACCACAGCAACGCACTGCCACGCTGCTCCAGAAGAAACATGAAATTTCTGCTCTCAGCTTGAAGATACTCAAATATAGATGAATGTGCACAGCTAATGAAATATTCATGCTTTCATGAGGAATGCAGTGGAGAGAGTGACCCGGGAAGCACCACTACGTACCACAGTCTGACAAATACGATCAGTCACATGGCAGACACACTTGGGAGGCAGGCGGAGGCACGCAAGGGAAGTAACTCCACCTAGGTACTCCTGTTAGTTACTCTGTTTATTAGCAATGCTGGCTGCCTCCTTTCCTCCTGCACAATGCATGCAGCCCCGTTAGAGAAAGACAAGGGAAATCCATCATGGCAAGGCTTGCAGTCTTTGCTTTGTCTTAACTAAAGCCAGATCACTAGGGCACAGCCAGTTTATTCAGTGGCGTAAGGGAAGGATCGCCTCCCGGTTTCTGAGCAAGCACAAGTTGATGTTACCGGGTCTGTCAGCTGCCTTTGACACTCACAACCCTGAGGTGTCACAGAAGTGTGTGATCTGTGGTAGGAACGGGTGACCTTCAACAGCCATCCTGCTGTCAAATCAGCAGCCTTTCCAATCAAAAGTCAAGGTTTGGGGGTTGGACTAGATGACCTCAAAAGGTCCCTTCCATCCCAAAGCATTCTATGATTCTAAGGTGGGGAATTCACAGGTGCTCTCTGGTAGCAAGGCCCTTTTGCCCTCAGCTGGAGCATATTTCACAGAACAAAAGCATTGTAAGAAGAAATAGGAAAACAATAACACATTAAAAACATATATTCCCTTTTTTATATAAAAATGTTAAACACACGTATAAGAGACAGGAAACTAGCTAGCACTACAGCCTTCTCCACTGCCTGTAAAACGATCAGCAAACAGTGGCTAGACCTGAAATCAGTGAGAGCAAATCATTTTTAGCACACTGCATTAGAGGCTAGACGTTTAAATTTATCATATTTTTCAGCCACTCTGCCCTAAAATTTCAAATTCAGTTGCACACATGGTATATGTTTTGATGACTAATATTTTTCCTTACCATTTTGTAAATAACTAGCCCAGATATACACCAAGACATGTATGTTGTATGCTGAATTTACCACACCAAGTATGTCAGGAAGCCACATGAAATTGGATTAGCCCTAATACAAAGCACTGGGATGACTAATCACTATGTAAAACCCAATTAAATAAGATTATAAGTATAAAGAAGTGTAAATTCCCTCTTATCAGATGACATTATCCATCTACATAAGATAACCAAGCCTAGCTTGTTTGTCTGAAAAAGTTCATATAGGCTCCAGCCCTCGAAGACTTTCACATGAGCAGTCTTTTGTCCACTCAGACGAGCCACGTGAATAAGCCTGGCACTCAACAGTGACTGAGTGTGGAGGCCACAGACAGTTTTCACGCCATCAGGTTAAAGGAAGCCATATTCACACTTTTACTCTTCATATTGCTGCTCTGACAAACTGCATCAGATAACAAAACGCACTCTACTGCAGTATTTCGATTACTCCAGGATTAACACTCTAATACTAATATTGTCCAGCTGCAGACTACTTCACTGGCTGCTGAACTAGTTTCAATACATTTATGAAGCACTTAATTGGAAAATAACATGTGAACCTTCAAATGCACTAAAAACAACATTTTGGTGACATTGGTGACAATGGTGACATTGTGGGCACCCAGCTCATGGTGGGGGGGATGCAGAGGGGTGAGAAAGATGTAGAGTGGCAGGATTTTGTTTTCCTTGATGATGAAAGGTGATGAATGATTGCTGAGCGCCTGGTAGCAATGAACTGGTTGCAGTCCTAGGGACATTGGTCATCAGTAATTTCAATGAAGTTATTAAAATTATAAACGTGTAAGCCTGGGCACTCAGATTCAGGGCAAAAGCCAGTTTCTTCTAAGAAATTTCCTAACAAAAAATGTTACTAAGTTTTAAATTTATCTATTTAAGTTCTCTCCTTAAGAAGTATCTATGAAGCCCACAACTATAGTTTTTAAATTTTAAGTATTCTGTGTTATATTTTGGTAGCCTCACATGTGATTTGACACAGGGAGACAGATTTACATAATTACTTTACAAGGTACTGAGTACTGGGGCTTGAGCTGTACTTTAATGGATGTTCAATAAGAACTGGATCAGTATGACAAGATACTCAAGCTTTCATTTTTAATATAAAAAAATGAAATTGAGCTCACAGAACTTCTAGCAAATTAACACTGTGCAGGCATGATCCCACCTCCACTGAATGCAAAGGCAAAATCCCAATTCAATTCACTGGCATCAAGATTGCAACTTCATTTCTTAATATTTATTAGAATAACA